GGTTGGCATATTTCCCGGTGCCCTTCGCGCTCGGGGTCATTGGCGTCATGACGAATGAAGAGATATGGAGACAATGGCTTGATCAAAGAGCAGCGTGTCTGTCTCGGTAGATCATTAGGGGGAAGGGGAATGAGGAGAAGAGGGAAGCTCACTTGAGTGGAAAAGAGCTCTCGAGGAACTGCCAAGTGATGTCCGAGATGAACTTCACTTGGAACTGAGATCGACTTTAGCTGAGCGTGCGCTGGCGGTTCAGGACGCCTAGATCGAGTCTATTAGTCCTCCACTAAAGAGATGGCTTTTCAAGTTTGTCCGCTTTCAGGTGAGGATAAACATGACTAAGCCCAGAGTTGGAAGAAGTTGTGGGCGCTGAAGGAGTGTCAGTCGATGGATTACCAGACGGCGGTGGCTTTTGCGTCGCGCTCCTTTCAAGTTCAGCCCTTATCCTCTCATTTGCCTCTGCTGTGACCTTGAGCGTGGCATCGATATCCTTGGTCAGCTTCTCGATCTCTTCATCTAATCTTTCCTGCCTTGTTTTTGGAGGCGCCTCGTATGCGTCTTTCTTATTCTTGGTCGGGTTAGTGCTAGCCCATAGCTCTTCCAATTCATCGCGCCAGCCCAGAGCATCTGCAAACTTGCGGACACCTTCATCACAGTCTCCCAGCAACAAGACGTCGTCCGGCCTTGAACCAAGGGATCCCACTCTTTCTAGGTTGATGAGCACGCGTGGTGTTTCTTCTCTGACAAATGACGGCAGACTCGCAAATGGCTGAACCGTCAGACTGGTCCCCATGATGATCGCCAGCTCTGCCTTCGCAGGCAGACTTCGGTTGCGGTGGAATGATTCTGGAAGAGCCTCGCCGAAGAACACGATATCCGGCTTTACCAATCCAGTGCATGTTTTCCTGATACAGCGCGGCACCTCCTTTTTCTGGATCATCGCTTTCATCCGATCTTCAGGGAACTCTGTCTTACACTCAATACATCGTTGGGTGGCAAAAGAACCATGTGCTTCCACGATCTTGTCCCCAGGAACTCCGGCTTCACGCTCAAGGCAATCAATGTTTTGAGTGAAGAGTTTGAGCAGCCGGCCCTTCTTGTGAAGTAAACTGATAAACGAGTGTGTCACGGTCGGCCGATATTTGCCCGGGTACAGTTCATGCGCAAGGGTATAGAACGGGTAAGGGTTATTTCGAAAATATGAGATGTCAAAGACTGCTTCGGCGTACGGGAGATTCAGTCGCGCAAGATTGGCATACAGTCCGGTATCAGGAGAACGAAAGTCAGGTATTCCGGCAGAGGTGCTGATCCCTGCGCCAGTCTGGAAACGATCAGATTCGAACTTCTAAAGTGCATGGCGGGTTCCTACCATGACTACAATGTTCTTGATGTCCTTCTCTTCAATGTACTGGGCTACCGCTTCTATGCTCCGAGCATAGAGTGTGGCGGGACGCGTAGCCTCGTCAACCGGGGTAGAGGATTCATTGCCCATTTCGAAGATATTCCAGCGCCCCGCACGTGGATGGGAATGGCGGTCTCGTCGTCGTCGACCTATGATTGCGAGCAGATGGGGAAACACTTTGAGAAACGGCAGGTGTGGTTTAGGAGCCCGTTCGCTTTCTGATCGGGTGCGAGAAACAGTCAGACGGGTTGTGAATGAGTAAAAGCGAGGCAGGGAGATTGTGGCACGGAAAATGATGGCGGATCCTGCCAAAACGATGTTATCTCTTTGCCGCCTCGGTCGGTGGCCGCCCCGCGTCATATCGGACTCGTATTGCGGGAACGTGGAAACAGCGGCTAGGGGCATGTTCGATCTAACTGTATATAGTAAAGCGCCGGCTATGTGTCCGCGGTCTCCAGCTCGCTAGGCACTCGCTACGATGCTGCTTCGACTACTTCCAAGTATAGGCGGTATTGGCTCCTAAAGTGGTGACAGAAAACGCTACTGTACTTGGTCCTGGTACATAGTAGCGTTACGGCTTCGGCTAGATATCGGGTCAAGGGGTGGCTAGCGTTCGCTAACTTAGGGAGTAATTAGGCCACCAGCCAAGGAGTGTCGCGACCCGGGGAGGGTCCTGTTATTACTAGCAGGCTCCCCGCGTGAGATGTGCAATCTGGGTTCTCTGATGTTTATAGTCCTGTACAGTATCAACGATATCCTATTAGAGATATCTATCATTTCTTATTGCTAGACTCTGCCTCATTTGCGAAGAAATCCCTAACAAATAGCGGCTGTACTATATTCCAACTCAATTAACCCATTGCCACTCGCTTTGTGGAGGACCAGGAAACCCATGAACCGAGTGAACTTTATCTGCTGCCAGCCCGACCGAGCTCAGAAACTCCAACGTATTGATGGCTGCCCGCCTCAGTCGATCCAACCCCATGTCCAATCCCCAGATATCTCCCATTTGGAAGCCTCTCCATAATCCAAGTTCTATACGATTACTCACCTTGTATCCTGGAAGATTCCAAGATCATGTTGAAGCTTCACTCGAAGAATCCGATCTCAGGAAGGACCCGTACTATGAGGCTATCTCGTTAGTACCGCTGTGCACGGAAGCTAGCTCATATCATCTTTGTAGTTAACACACTTGCAGATACTACTGGGGCCGTCAGATGCCTGAATACGACATTACTGTGAATGGACAAGTTCTCCAAGTCAGGAAGAATCTATACGACTTCTTGCGAAAGCTTCGCTCCAGGTCTCAAAACAGGATCCTATGGGTCGACGCCATTTGTATTTCACAAATGGACCTGGAAGAAAAATCACAACAAGTACGAAACATTCACCACGTTTTCCTCCAAGCCTCCTGCGTCCATGCTTGGTTAGGAGAGCACCAGGACTCGAGCGAGGTTTTATTCGACCCTCAAGAAGACGCCTGGCAACCCCATGAAGGACTACTCCGTAAAGTATGGAGACTGACCTTTTCACCTACGCCACTGCGGAAACTATACGATGCTAGACGGAGAAGAGTGAGAATTTGGATCGCGTTCTTTCAACGACCTTATTTCAGCAGACGTTGGATCGTTCAGGAGTTGGTCCTGGCACGGTCTATTATGATGCATTGCGGAACAGACGAAAGGTCTTGGGACGAATTAATTGGCACAAGAGTTTACTACAAAACCTTCGATGGTATTAATTTTGGCACCATTGGTGATATTTATAATCCTGTCAACGATCCCTTTCGAAAGGCGACGAACAACATTCGCATGCTGCTAATGTTACGCGACGAAGCTCGGACGCAAAAATTCGAGAGAGACATCTTTACGCTAATCAACATGTTCTCTCACACGAAATGCGAGGATCCTCTTGACCAGGTATATGCACTGCTCTCCCTTGAAGACAGCTCAATGTCTTCACGGCAAGATATGCAGTACTACACTGCCAGACGAACCGGTGTCATTTTTCCAGATTATCAGAAAGATATGGCCGATCTCTTTATCACAGTATTCACTAAGCGGAACTGCACCGATCCCATTCAGCTCAACCCTTCACTCTTGGACACCGAGAACGCAAGGCGGAGAAGCCAAAAATCCGGGAGGGTCCGGTGGAACGTAGATCAAGTTCTTGTCGAGCTCGGCAGTCAAAGAGCGCTCACTGCCTATCATCTACTGGCAGACCTACATTTAGACGAGTTCGAAATGAAACTTGTGCAAGAGCGCCTTCACGAAGCTGCGTTGAAGGATCATACAGGTCGACTGAACGCTGCATTATCTGACACGGAAAAAGCAATCCGGTTTATCAATCGACAAAGGACTTCGTACCAGATGTAGGAGCGAAGGGGTCTTAAGGGCGTTGAGATGATGGAAATTGCTGGCCGTGAGTATTTTAGCCATCGTTGATACCAAGATAGTAACGTCTAAGAGGTTGGTCCATTACTAGCCTGTCCGTTCTAATATGTCTAATGTTTCGCGAAAATCCAATGCCATGTTTATTTACTCTCTAAACATTGCGCTCCAAGCGCCCTTTGGTCTAGAGCTCTCGCAATGCTAGATTCGAGATGCTTATTGGATGAATAAAAAACCAACGCGTGATTGAGTGACCTGAATGCCGAGAGATACTACCGTAAGGCGGCGCCCACAGCGATAGAAAGTGAATCGGCCATAGCAACTCGCAGTTGAAATGCGACCATGAACATCTGTCTGAAGAAAACGAATCACGGAAAGGATTGGATGAGCTCATCGCATCAAATCGTGGACTGCGAGTTGTGATGGACACTCTCGAGGCCGGTCGAATGTTGTCCAGTAGTCCTGTTCGGGACAGTTGACCGCAATTGAGGGTTCCGTCAGCTTCCCCCTTCTTGTTATCTCTAGAACACAGGTTTTAGATACAGTGAATGCGATGATGAATGAACTGATTCGGTCGGCAGTAACGCCGGTTGTCGAGCTGCGGAGGATATCACACAATGCTTGGCGCTAGGTTTAATCACGCGGTCGCTAATGGTGGTTGTCTGCAGCGTTACAGCGATGCGTTAGTCAAGATACTATTGCTGCTATTAAGATTTTCTGCCACCGCTTTCAGGAGGTAACGTCATCTGTAATGGACCGTAAATCCATTCATGTGAATCTGATCAGAGCATACTCGGTCCTTCCTGGAGTTCCTGTTAATTGGCGAAGTGGAGAAGGCGCACTTAACTTTATATAGACTAGTTCCAAGTCAGAGCAGGCTAAACATTTAGCGAGTTCCTTCTATTCATTAGGCAAACCTATCTAAAAACCTTTCCTGTCACCGCCGTCCTTGTAAACGTTGTCATATTAGAGGCGGCGGTGTTGATCAAACGGCTGTTGACACTGTCCTGATATCTGTCACAGTGGCCTAGGCTAGGCCAGTGCCTTGGCTGGCTGCACCATCTCGACAACCGCAGTATGGTGAGGCCGACGAGGCTGCACAAAAGGGGGTTGTGCAGTCATGGCTCGACTCGAGAGTTGTCCGACAACATTTCATCCGTCAGGCGTCAGGCGTACAGTTTATGCTCTCGCCGCTCGAGCCAATTACGGGACTATACAATGGTAACACCCAATTCTCGTGCAATGATGTCCGCAGCTTTCTCCCCGACGGCCAAAGCAGTGTTGTACGTGTTCGCAGCGACATTCGATGGAACAATCGATAGATCTATGATGCCCGGCAGGGCAACAGACAGTTAGCGTTTCCATATCTCGGCATGGCTGCTGCTGGACAATACGTGGACAGGCCGCGGTGCAGAGATTGAGAAGAAAGGATAGAGCAAGAGCCATACCTGCAATCTTTAGCTTGCTGACACCATACACATTCAGATCTTTGTCCACCACTCCTCCTTCTTCGCGTGGCCGCATTTGTGCAGAACCCAAGTAATGCCACGCAGTCGCAACGCGCTCTCTGATGCAGGCCTTGATTGCCTCGTCATCTTCAGCTGAATATTCAAGGTCTTCCAGCTGCTTGCCATGTTTAGCTGCCTCTGCTGCCGCACTGGTGTCGAGGGCCACGAGAGCCGCCTTTGAACTAGCGGCGAATGTCGGGTGTCCGATGGTCGCCTCTCCACGATAACTATTTAGTCGCCGAGCGATCTCCCTGGTTCGCTTGTACGCCCATACATGTACATCCAAGTCGACGTCCCCAGCACCTTCGAAGAAGCCGGTGCTGATCTCTAGGGGTGCATCAACGTCCTTTCTTGTAATGTGCACGTAACCCCGAGATCGCGGATAGGGGATGTAATTACCAATCGTAAAGTACTGCCCGAGTGGCACATCGGTAGGAGGACCGAGATAACCAGCAAAAGAACCAGTGAGCATCAGTGGTCTTGAGGGATACGGCAGAAATTCTTCCTTCCAGATTTTGGTCAGGGTTGGGTTGCCAATTTTCTCAACCTCTGAGGTTGATGGGCGCCAACGCCCAAAGATTTCGAGGCCATTGGTTCCAAGAACGAGATTGCTCTGAGCCATAAGCTCTGGGACCTTTGTAGGGTTGCGGAACAACCAGTCTAGGGTCTCGTCTTCAGGGAGCGAAGACTTGTACGAGAAATGGATAAATGGGTGGTCCTGGTATCTTTCACCGACACCAGGCAGCTCACTTACGACCGGGATACCGAGCGTCTCGAGACGAGCTCGTTCACCAATTCCTGAGCGCTCAAGGATAGCAGGGGAAGCAAGAGCACCAGCGCATACAACGACAAGTTTGCCGGCTCGCACAACTCCCTGGGTCGGTTTTGGAGGATTTTCAGAGCTTGACGGCTCTGTAAAGACATACTCAACACCCGTCGCTCGATTCTGGTCATCAAAAAGCACGCGACTGACTTTAGTGCGTAGGAGGACCTTGAGGTTTGGATGAGCGCCGTCATGGAGCAAGGGATGGAGGTAAGTGTGAGCTGCGTCTTGACGCACACCCTGCGGGGAGATAAATTTGTGCATTCGCTCAAAGCCAGCCGATGTTTCCAGGTCTTGCAGGTCGTCCCTCCAGGGCATACCACATTGAGCAGCTGCCTTCAAGAACTGAGAAGAATATGAAGTCTTAGGCCAGGAACCTAGAGATACACTGATGGGTCCGGAAGTACCTGTGGATAAGAGATTTTGTCAGCTTCTGCTCGTTCCAGAACGGCCCTCATATTCTTGGGTGACTCACCATGGATGCTTTCATTTGCCTGTTTGGTGCCCGGGTGATATGTCTCCAACCTTTTTAGAAGTGGGATCATGTCTTCGCGAGTCCAGCCTTCGGTCTTCCACTCATCGAAGTCGACCCCTTGCGCCCGACAGTACATCATGAAGTTGATGGAGCTGGCACCACCGAGAATGGCCGCACGGGGAATAATGATTGATCGACCTCCAACTTGTTCGGTAGGCTTGGAGGGGAGAAAAACAGCGGAAGTCGAGTCAGGCGCCATGTGAGCCAGGAATAGTGCTGGCGTTCGGACGGTGGGATCGTCGTAGTTGTCTCTGCCTTCCTCGATGATAAGGATTGAGAGGGAAGGATCTGCCATCTGTAGCCTGCCAGCAAGGACGCATGCTGCAGTACCGCCTAGTAAAGGAGTGTAAGCCCAGCTCGCTAGCATGTCGTCTCAGGATAGGCAGAATGATACAAACCTCCCGCAACAACAATGTCATACTCTTCTCTTATTCCCAGGGCGGCCATTCTGTGTGCTTCAACCTTCTATGCAAGTCCAGAGGGCCAGTAGCTTCCAGCAGACCTTGAACTATAGGCAGCAGGATGTGATAGAGGACCTAGGGAACATCGACTCCTCGAAAAATACGACCTGCCAGAATAGCGCACTGTCTGTGTCTGTGTCTCAAGCCCTGACCAGTCCGGTAAACTTGTTCTCTATGTGATATCAAGCCGACCGCTCCGAGAGTGAAACCCTGGTGCGATTGAATCCATGGGGGTTGAGAGAGGTGCCGACTATATAGCCGTGCAGTTCGCTGATGTCGAAACGGCATATACACCAACAGGTAGGGATCATGGCTTACAGCTGGGGTCTGCAGATGGTTGGGAAATTTTCCGCTCACATCAGCCCGCATCTCCACGAGTATCTTCCAATATATGGGCGGATTCTCAAGAAACGGTACTTCTCCCATACTGTTGTGGGGCAATCAGGGACCTACCTGCTTATATGCCATTTGGCCCCATGTCGAAGCCGATCTATAGCAAGGTACCTAACTCGCTTACCACCACGCGGGGGCTTGAGCCGCACCGGGGCAATTCGAGAAAGGAAATCCACCCGCTGGTTTCCCGACGGAAACAGTGAATGGGAAAGACACTGGCGTCATGTCTGGTGTAAGAAAAGGTAAAACCAAGTATACCCCTGAATGCAGTGTCGTTCAGCGTATGCTATCACAAAATAGCAGCCCCCGTTCAAACAAAGGTACGTACGTAAGGAAGAACCAATCCACAAATGAGACGGGCCGCAGATCTTGCAGCACATCTTGGTCCGAGGTCCGAGCCGCATATACCTAATGCTTTAGTGTTGTCAGTTGACCTATACGATGCCTCTGGAATCAGTACGAATTAATACGATGGTCACATCTCGACAGGGACAAAAGGCAGCGAAGCAAGACTATACTTGATCTGCACAGGTCTTTGTCACACTTGCTCGTTTAGGAATACATCACAGCCATACGAGGTACAACAAGAATTGCGGCGGCCAACTTCCTGGTCAGAACTACGTATTACATAGTGCTAGTATTACCTCGAGCTTCAATCCACATCACTGCCAGCTACCACTAGGAGGCTTTCTAGAGACGTAAAAATATTACTGACTTCTCTTGAGATACGCTGTCTCAGTGAAAGCCCACACCACTGGGCCCTGTTTTCGACGCAGAGTCTGCGCGTGGTCAAGAACCAGTGAGCCCCTTGTTTTCAACAAGATAAGGTGCGCGAATATTGGCGGTGAGCTCGCCCAAAGGAAGCTGCGATGTATAGCCCCAATAAGCGTTGCCAACATACAACGTGTTTCCGCTTCCTCTGCCCATCGCCTTTTCGAGTCCCATGATAAACTCGAGCGATTTGCCGACAATAGCATTCAAAGTACATACAACATAGTCCCCGCGCGATTCCTAACCGTAACTGATGAGTCCGTCAGATGGAAATTCGCTTCTACCCAGGGGTTGAATGCTACCAGATTTCGGCGACCTTTGGAAGCCTCGTTGACATCTTCCAGCGACCAAGGACTGCAGTTTCTAGGGTTCTCGGATCCTGAGAGTGCTCAATTTGCAGGTGCTTTCCGTGGCATAGAGTTGTCAAGTCCGTCTGACGCCAATTTGTAGTTTCAGATCCACTAACATCTACGCACACGGTGCCTTGTAAATATCACGAGTTGGAGTCGAGCTGTCGGTCGAGTTCAGCCTTGTGAGTTTAGCCCTGCGAGGCGAGCCAATCCTGGCCAATCTCATCAACCCATTAGCCGAGGTTTTGCCGACACCGCAAGAAAAGTTTCTGGCAAAATTGCGGAGCGTGTAGTTTGCACCTACTGCAACCACCAAGAGTACTCCGTATTGTTGTAGCAACACTTCTGCTAAACAAGATTTGTACCGAACTCCCCCTGGACACCCTGTCGCCATGAAGCGAAAGCTAGACGTCAATGATGCACCGACAGTTGAGGTTTCTCGAGAGCCTGAGGCAGATGGATTGTCGTTCAGTTCCTTTGGCCTTGACCCTCGCCTAATGCAGGCCGTTGCAAAATCAGACTTCTCCCACCCTACACCCGTACAGGCAAAGGCCATTCCCCTGGCGCTTGAGGGAAAAGATGTCCTTGCAAAATCCAAAACAGGTTCCGGAAAAACTGCCGCCTACGTCCTCCCCACTCTACAAGCGATTCTGCGTCGAAAAGCGTCCTCCCTGGGCGTCAAGATCACGTCTACTCTTGTCCTCGTGCCTACTAGAGAACTGGCAGATCAAGTATACAAAGCCTTCAATACCTTTTCGGGGTTCTGCTCGAAAGACGTACAAACACTGAATTTGACACAAAGAGTTTCGGACGCGGTCATAAATGCGGTGTTGCAAGATTTCCCAGATATCATTGTCACAACCCCTAGCAGAGCGACTCAATACCTCAGCTCGGGCAGGCTGTCTCTTGAAAACATCCAGCAACTTGTCATTGACGAAGCTGACATTGTGCTTTCATATGGCTACGAAGAGGATATCAACGCAATCGCTGCGGCCCTCCCCCGTGGTGTACAGACATTCCTGGTCAGCGCCACGCTGACGCCGGAGGTCGAGGAGTTGAAGACCATCTTCTGTCGTGACGCAGCAGTGGTCAAGATTGATGAAAAGGAGGAGAAGGGCGAGGGGGTGACCCAATATGTGGTACGGTGCGGGGAAGATGAGAAGTTCTTGCTTATGTATGTTTTGTTTAAATTGCGTCTCGTGAAGGGGAAATGCCTGGTGTTCGTGGCAGAGGTCGACAGAAGCTACCGGCTAAAGCTCTATCTGGAGCAGTTTGGGATCAAATCTTGCGTCCTGAACGCGGAATTGCCAGTTAACTCTCGGTTACACGTGGTTCAGGAGTTCAACAAGGGGCTTTACGATATCCTTATTGCAGCCGACGATCAAGAGGTTCTCGGAGGAGTTGTGAAGAGGCGAAGGATGCAGGCACAGGTTGCAGAAGACTTAACCAACGAGATGAGCGAGGAGGATGAAGAGGAAGTCCAACGACCGTCAAAGAAAGTGAAACAATCGAAGAAACATGAGAAAGACTATGGGGTCTCAAGGGGCATCGACTTTCAGAACGTTGCCTGCGTCATCAACTTCGACCTTCCTCTAACCTCCAAGTCCTACACGCATCGCATTGGCCGAACAGCACGAGCAGGGAAAGCAGGAATGGCATTGTCGTTTGTGGTTCCCAAGGATAAGTTTGGCAAACACAGAGCGACGAGCATTCTCTCAGCAAAAAACGATGAACGTGTTCTGGAGAAGATCATTACCCGACAAACGAAGAAAGGCAACGAAGTGAAGCCCTATCATTTCGACATGACACAAGTGGATGCCTTCCGTTACCGCATGAATGATGCGCTACGTGCTGTGACTGGAGCTGCTGTGCACGAGGCACGCGCTAGGGAAATCAAGCAAGAGCTAATCAAGTCTGAGAAGCTGCGAAAGCATTTCGAGGAGAATCCGGAAGATTTACGACACCTAAGACATGATGGCGAACATGGGGCAATCGTTAGGCGACAAGCGCACCTGAAGCATGTTCCGGAATATCTGATGCCGCCAGCGGGTAGAAAAGCACTGAGTGCTGATGACGTCGGGTTTGTTGGGTTGCAAAATGAAAAAAAGCGGAAAGACAGCAAGAAGCGAGGAGGTCGCAGAGGTCGATTTGGCGGGAGATCTAAGGGGAAGATCGACCCGTTGAAGTCGTTCAGTGCAAGGAAGAAGCGTTAAGAAAAGCACTGTCACCAAGGATGGGTCCTCTGCGACAGCAATATGATTGTTTACCAATCCAATGGACAGACAATGTTTCTTGGTCCCTATGCTCCCTCCTAAGTTGTCCACAGAGACATTCCCATAGAGTCCCAACCATTCAGGTTCGACGAATTACGGTCCAAAGGTATCGCGGAAATGTCGTTATCACGTCGAAAGTCCAAGGTCTTGTTCTAGAGGAGTCCCTGTTGACATAATCGCTTACTCCTTTCCGCACTCCCCTGTGAGGACTTTTGGGTTGAAAGAACCAGCAGCTAGACGCAGTGTCCAATGTTGACGGATCAAACATGCGCTATGCCGGGATTCACCCTTGAGGGCTCTAGAAGTCCCCTGGCGTTCTTGGTTCCAATTGGTCATCGCTGTCAATTTGTAATGAATGGATGCTTACAGCCACAATAGTGGGCGTCCTACAAAGTACGTAGTAGCTAACAGCGAACATATCACTCGGACAAATATTTTTTATTTTACCTGTATATTTATATTCGAGAGGAGCTTCTACCGCTCGTTTTTGGGGCTTATTGTAAGAACGCCAATCGAGGCAGAAAGAACATCTCCCGGCTGTCTTCTTGGGTCGTTTATTCCACCTGCCGTTTCTCTCGCCGCTCCACACGAATCACTTGGGTCCCCAAAAGAAAACTCGAGAGATTGGATAAAAGAAAGGAAAAGAGAAAACAGCTCAAGCTGCCAAGAGTCAAAAGAATCTCCCCCCAAAACTGAGAAGAACCAGAAAAGATGCCCACTGCAACCGCCAAAATCGACGGCAAGGTAATCGCCTCGTCCTCATCCTACCAGACGGTCGAGGGCAACGTGTACTTCCCGCCGTCCTCGCTGGCCCAGGACGGGGGTGCGACGCTGACGACGTCGGCGACGCACTCGACGTGCCCGTGGAAAGGACGCGCCAGCTACTACAACATCACCACCGCGGACGGGCGCACCGTGAAAGACGCCGCCTGGTACTACCCCGCACCCAAGGACGGGGCCGCCCACATCAAGGATTATATAGCGTTTTGTAAGTTTGTCTATATTCATTATTTTGGTGCAACTCGACGATAAAAAGAGGGAATTGAATGCTGACTCATTGGACGGCTGGGGGTAGATACGAGCAAGGTGGCTGTGTCTCTGGCTTGAAGGAATGTACGCGGTGGCCCGAACGTGCTTGGAGGGAGCGAAGGGGGGAAGTATATATGGTCTTGAATTGTGGTGGGAGGATTCAATTCTCGAGTAGCGAGGTACCAACAAAAGAACGCGAGTTGACACCCGTATGAGCGAGTTTTTCTTTCTCATAGGACTTGCCCTCCACTGCTCCTTGGCTCGATTCATGGTTCCCTTGTCACGTTGCTGCCGGCAGATTGAGGAAAGTTCGCCCAATCGCCCTTTATTGGATCGCGCGTGCTTTTGGGACAATTGCTTCTTTCCCTTCTCCATCGGTGTGCCCCTCATACTCCCTCGAAGATCAGACGGGGGTATACGTCCCATTCGCACAATTGAAGCCGAGGTCCGGGTTCAGCGACGCAGAGGCATTCAAGCAGATCACCGTCGCCGGTGTGAATGTTTCCGGAAACACCTGGATATTCTCGAGCGCGAAGTTCTTGCAGGAAGTGTTGGTGTTGCACTCGATGATGATGGCCTCGGTGTGTTGAAGGTTCGGCAGTCCGACATTGTACCAGCATGGCTGTTGACGTCGCGGTGGTCAGTCCGTGTCATTTTCTGTCGGGAGTCACAGTTCTTGCAACGGAGGGAAGGGATCTGTGGTTATTGGGCAGCAACTTACATCGCTAACGCAGGAACCATCACCTGGATTAAATGTGTTGATTGTCCCCGTGAAATTCGCCCACGTGAAGTCTTCCATATTGACGGTCGAGTTGTTCGGTCTTCCAACAGTCGTTCCATTCTCGATCTGGGTCTGTGCGGATCCCTGGTTCACGTACGTCTGCGTTACGAAGATCGGAAATGTCACGTTGTACACCCTGATGTTGGACCAGGTGATGTTCCTTGCCAGACCCTTGCCTCCAATCCAAGACTTGAACCGAGAAGCATAGACCGCGTTTATCACCGTGATGTCGTCGAACTTGACATCTGAGACATTGGCCCACTTTGCTTGGTTCTGACCCAGAGACCCGATGCTCATACCGTGGCTCTGATAGCCGATGGTGCCTCCTTGAAACAGGATGTTGCTGGCTCCTGCCTGTACTGCAATCGCATCGTCACCGTTAAAAATGACACTGTTCAGGATCTGGATATTGCTACCCCCAACATCGAATCCGTCTGTGTTGAAAGGAAACCCTTCAGTCGCCGAGACAGCGTCGATGACTGTGTCTGAAATGGTGATATTGTTACCGCTCACTTGGATTCCCCATGCAATCGGCTTGCGAGATTTAAAATATCTCATGGAGCCGTTGGTTGTGTTGAAGCTCATCAGATGCGGTCGTGACGGCGTTCCACTGCCGTTCTTGGGATTGGCGTCCCACCAAGCCTGACCGTAGCTGTCAATCCAGCCGTTAGTGACATTTTGCGTACCGATGTAGTTGATGGAAGGACCTGAAAAAGTGAACCTGTGCGATGTCAGCGGGACGAGGCAAATCGTCTTTGAGAGTAGTACCAGTAGAGAGCGGAGGCGTTGGTCGCAGCTGTTGTCTTGTTCACAATCTCCTGGATAGCGGTGATGTTCTTGGGAAGATGGATGTTACCCTGCATCTGGATGACGACATTGGAAAGATTACTCGCCACGATGGGTTGAAGGACGTTGTAGTCGACTCCCTCGCTGAAAACTATCGTCGAATCTTCGGCACATTTTGCGAACGCCGCTGCAACCGCAGGGGAATCATCAGCCTTGCCACCGGAAGACCTGTACTTGGAGGCAACTGTGCAAGTGTTGCGCCCGCTGCTCTGGCGGATTTCCAGTGACGCTGCCCACGCCACCAGTTGGAACAAAACAGCAGCAAGTATGGTACTCGACATCATGCTAGACAGGGTTCGAGGTTCTCAATTAAGGTCTTGGAGGGATCTCCTTGCGAGAAGCATGCGAGCGAAGGGTGCTTTGATATATGCGTCTTTGCCTTCCCCATGCTTGAATGTAGTTTGATGCTCATGATCTCCATAGCCTGGGGAAGGCCGTTGACTCCCCTGTCGATCCATCCCCTTCATTCCGTTTGCCGTCACCACCGTCAACTGCCAGAGCAGGATGTAGCAGGGCAACTCCAAGTCCTAGGATCGAAGAGGAAGGTGGTCAAAGTCGTTGAGGAGGTGAAGTGTTTGGGGCTCGGCATGGATCCCGCCGAGATGCCAAAGTGGTCGTTGTTCTCATATGGGTGCCTCCGCAATGGTTGTGAAACTCAAGTCGGAGAGAAAAGTGCGGGGTGCAGCAGGGATGCGGGGCGCCAAGCCAAGTCGGGCAAGAGAAGTCCGAAGTTGCATCCATGCCGCCATCTGGCCGTCCGCTGTTTGGAGCATAATACGCTGGAAAGAAGAGAGCAATACACTTACATTATCACTATCTCCGGTGAGAGAATCCTTCACGATCTCTGTTGGCCGAGGGAACGGTACCGAGGACAAGAAACACAGGCAACATTAGCCGGTATGCTTCTGGCTGTACCGCTCCTCGGCGATGGTCTATCATTGTAATGCCAAGGCGCTAAAAAGCTTCACGTCTTGGCGTGCGCGGGAACCAAGCATGTTCGATATGCCTGTGACGCTACGGAGACCAAACATGGAACCAGAAGTCTTCAACTTTGTCTTCACACTTGCGTTGACCCTACCTTTTGGGACGCACCTTGACCAAACACCATATGAAATCAATACGTATTCATAACTATATATCTACATTGCCCAGCTGATCGTAGGGATCCAACACTCAAGATTTCCCCGCCAGCCGCATATACTGCTCTATGGCCGGGGATTCTGCAACAGTGAGCGATTCGATTGTGGGCGGCCTGCTTCGCCTCTTCCTTCGCACGCTCGAATTGGCCGGTACGCCGTCTTCTCGACACCGCACGTAGAAATGGGGATGCTGGTTTCGATCTGTCGGACTCCCCCCCACCTTCTGCATATCGACTTGCCACTTTTTTGCCAGGAGGCCGCCGCTAGGTCCCGCTCCACAGGTCCCGGACATTGTATTTGAGGGCGGCGAATTGATCGCCAGCGCGAACATGTTTTGCGGCTCGGTGTAGTCCGTCACCCTGCCAAGCAGGCAGAATGTCCACAGCAGGTACACGAGGCTGAAGCTGCTGAGCAGGAACACGGCCACGAGGATGACGTAGAAGAGATTTTGCCACTCCTGGGTCCCTCCGGAAGCATAGTCCTTGTAGCTGACCTTTGCTTTAAAGTTCTGGTACTGTGGCACGTCGAGAATTGGGACAGAATAGTTCCAGAAGTGAACAAAGGGCGACTTTGACGAAGACAACAGTGCTGTTTCGCCGGCCAACACCGCCAAAGCCTCGCCAATAGTGGGCATGTCTGAAGTTAAGACGGTAGGATTGCCGTCGGAATATGCAGGAATCATTTGACTAAGCAGGCGAGCACTCGACGCGTTGGCGTCGTTGACTCCGGCAGTAAGGGAGAGGGATCGAAGCCATTCTGAGCCGACGTCTTTCCAATCTGCCTGCCAATTCCCAGTCACCGCATCTTTGACTGCGTCAACATAAGGAAGAGTGTTTCCAGTGCTCTTGTCGCATTCAACCGACAGCTGACCGCCTGACTGGGCGACGCGATAGTACGTGGTGCAGTTGCGATATTGACCAGACTTTATGGAGCACAAGACGTAATCGTTGGTCGAGTATTGTCTTTTGTCAACCGGAGGAGGGGCTGCGAGGAGATAAATGGCATCATATCCGTATGCGCTAGAGATAAATCCGAGTGTGTTGTATTCTATTGGAAGTTTTGAAAAGACAGGTGCTTGCTGCACGCCGTCGTACGGGCCAGTGGTACCAAAATTGAAGATGTCGTCGACGGCCGTGGGACGCGGGAAATATGTGCTTGGATCTGCAATGTTTGAAACATTGACAATCATGGGCGCCAACTCCGTCGTAGACATGCCCACACATAAAACATTGATCAGAGGCGCGGGGATTGCAGCTTGGATGAAGTACTCCCCGTTTCCCTGGAGGTCCTCTGGCTGTAAAATGTGGTTCCTGGGATCCCGGGCGGCATTGAATAGATTCGCATGAGGCATCGCCAACGTGACATTCTGCACGAGTCTCCCCCACCGGTCCGAGTCGGCTGTGATATTTTCACGACTCGGAGTGATCCATTGACCTTGAACCGTCGTATTGTCAAACAATGTGGCGACTGGTTCAGAGCGACCGGCGAAGGAGCTTGGATCAGAGCTCGTATTGCCAACCTTCAGTCTCTCGCGCCAGTCCGACATGAACGACTTGAAGTTGTGAAAGCTTTGTCCGGCATAGTCAATCTGGAGACAAGTATCGCCCTCGGGATGGGGCCCCACACCTTCCGGGTCAGGGTCTTCTTGCACAGGCGTTTCGCAGCTTTGGGCCAGCCAGATGGAGTTGGCGTAAGATGCTGACACTTGACCCCAAAGGGTTCGATCCTCAAGTGGCCCAAACTTCGGCTTTGGCGCCACCAATGCTTCAGCAGCGGTGGTGTAGAAGGTTGCCGCCAGGACAGCAATCAGGACCATGATGCCGAGAACAGTTGAGGCAGCATATCTGACCACTATCCAATTCGTGATAAGCGTACCAGGTTGCATGACCCATGACCTCATGGTCATTTCGGCGATGCTGATGCCGCTGTTCCTGTCGGTCTTTGCGAAGGCGCGGCGACTCAGAATCTGACCCAGAAGCGCCACAAAGATGGTGACGAAGGATAGCTCGACTGTTTTTGATAGGAGGGCGGATAGAAGTGTGGCATTCCCAAAGGAGAGATGTCCGTTGGTGCCAATTCTTTCACCCCATCGTGGTTTTGCAAACGCGATACCAAGGAAGACGCCAGAAAATACCGTCGAATAAATCGCCAGTGCCAATATCGATGTCGTCCACCATGACCATGGGCTTGTCAAGATGTCGCCGTGAGTCGGGCAATTCTCGTCAATCCTAGTATGGGAATGCAATAGTCCGACTTCCGGGGAGAATTCTTGTGGGGTCTGTTGATTGAGTTGGCTATATGATGACCGTTCTGATCTGAATGATTTCCTGTCCTCATTAGGATTGGTCGTGTTTTGATAAGGACTACTCCGGCTCGGACCCAGCACCAGGGAATCGGGAGCCGTTACGGTACTCGTCGAACCATCTTTGCTGGTGAAGGATTGACCTTTAGAGCCAACTGGAACACGCTTCACTTGCTTCGACAGGCCTGAAATGTTCAATCCGGCGACGGGCTCCTCGTCCCAATCGGCTATAGGTGCGAGATTCTGGAGCTCATGATCTTCTTGGGGCGCTTGCTCGTAGCTTTTCTCCGGCGGCAGCGACGAGTTCTGGCGCCAAAAAGACCGTCTGGCATGGAAAACGTCATGTTCGTCCCCGTCCATCGTAGGCAAAGCTGCCCTTCAAGCCTCTAGCTCCAAGATACACTCGAGATTTATTTCTGAAGGTGTACCCGGTAGAAAGCACTGAGATCCCGGCAGAAGTAGAATCGCGGGCATGGAGGGGACGGCCTCTAAAACTAGTTAATGGTGAGGCTGAAAAATGTAGGACCTTTCCGCTTCTTTGTCTACCCCATGTTTGACCTGGCGCAGAGAACCAGACTCTCCGACGATAGCAGTTGCGTGTTGTCTTTTCTTCTGGCCCCAGCCGAGGGGCACTAGAAGCACAGGTACGCCATGTTCTACCGTCCCATGGTGTTCCGCTAGGTGCCGTTCAGTCAAGACTTAGCGATGAGGCGCACACCCAAGCACGCACACTTATGCATGATTGAGCTGAGCAATTGGTTTCTGGCTTGATGGGATGGTGCAGGGAGGGTTGGGAGCGACTCGCTCAATGTGCCAGGTGTTGATGGACAGAGAAAGGTTTGGGCATCGGTACTTCCAAGCTGCACCAACATGACGATATCTTCCTTCGACTGAGCCAAGATGCATTCTATCATGATCCAAGGTGCCGAGTATCTGCACGTCTTGCTCTATCACGGCACGCACTTGTGCTCTGGTCGCTTTAGCGGATGTCCTAAGAGGAGATTGAGCAGCGGGGAGCGCGGTTGCGGTTGCTTCGTCCGGCATCTCGATCACGAGGTGGACCATGAGCCCTGGGCGCGTGGGTGTGTTGCCGGGCTCACTAGGCTACTAATCTAACAGTAATTTGCCGCTGGTGCAGCCACTGTTCATGGGTGCAGGAGTTCCAAGACATCGGCTCGAAAAACGATCTTCTAGAGCGGTGCTCGGGTACAGGGAAACCCAGACTTCGCTGCGGTCGTCGTTGTTTTATGCACCCTCGTTATCGATGCGCTAAGACTGCCATTGAATCTTTCACGCATTTAGGTGAGTGCCTACGGAGAATGGAGTACAGAGTGCTCGGGACGAGGTAGAAGACTGGGCATTTGACTGGCCATGGTGCTGACCCTGCAGTTTCAGGAGCCGCCAGGGCATGAGTACTGTACGAAGCAAGGAGACCCGCCCCCAAGCTGCAAACCGATGTGAGGTCGCACAGAGGGTGTTAATGTGTTGATGTTGAGTGGGCGTTTCAACGGCTGCAGCATAGTACCAGCTGTGTCTCTCTGTGCATCAGCGGATGCTTGAGATATGCATTTACTAGGTATGTTCATGGTCCGGGGTTCCCTCACCATCGAGATCCTTTACATTGTTGCCCAGCCACCAGCGCGAATTTAAAGGTCCACCCTATGGTCGAAGGGTACTGTTGTACCTGGTACTCGATTTCAACCCTGAGTACTCATCTCCTAGCACCATTATGGACGGACCTGGGCGATCATCTCCGTCGCTACCGATTTGGGATTTGGGTATAGACCAAAAACATCCGTCGGATCGCGTCTTGACCTTGTTGGTAGAGCCTTGGGATGCCTTATTTCTGTTCCAACGACCGATCACCCCGTTATCATCCAATCAGACCTTCTTATGGGGATACAAACGACCTCATGGCAGGACTTGGCCAGAAGCAAATGCCACAAATATCCTGAGAAACTTGGATCTCACATTCTCAGTCCCTATCGTACCCGGATGCGCAAAAGAGGTTCTGCCGCTTGCGGGCGATGTGGACCTCCAGGCCAAGCACCACCAGGCTGAAGGCTCTCCATCACAAGGTCCGGACAGGCTGTACTACATGCTAGTAAGTATGTATCTCACCGTTCCTCGCACTGGCTTACGACGTAAGGCGGCGTCGGGTCAAGTGCGACGAAACCAAACCTGTCTGCTTGAATTGCGCGAGAGGCCACCGTCAATGTCTAGGTTATTCGATCCTAAAAGCCAAAATCTTCACCTTGGAAAGTCGTGAGAGTTCGTCTGAACGGTCATTATCAAGTCTATCTTCACAGACGACGGCTTGCGATAATGAGCCCCCGGTGTCTAGGGTTCTCGAATGGTCATTTGGCACCGACGAGGAAGTCCGATCCCTACAGCACTGGCTTCTCGTGACGTCGCCAGTGTTGGCTCATTATGGTCCACAGGGAGATTTCTATACTGTCCTTGTCCCACAAGTCGCTCGGCAGTCTCCTGCAGTCAAGCATATGCTCGTTTCTCTTTCCCTGACGCACGAAAAGTTTCACACCGGTGTAGCAACTGCCACCCCTGAAATGACCTCACAGGCTGTTTCCCACTATATCTCAGCCCTTGCAGATATCAGAAACAACAACCCGCCGAAGCTCAATGTTGTCATTGCCTCTCTTGTTGCCTGGGCCATAGAGCTAGTCCAGAACAATGTTCCGGCTGCCGTCGTACACTTGCGCGGAACATTGCAACTTCTTCGGGAGTACCGGCAGTTGAAACCTCCTCGGTCAGCAGAAGACGTTCTGCGAAAATTAATTCTACCAATGGCAAGCCTCGCCAGAGGGTTAACTACGCTGATGATCTATACTGGACCTAAATCAGGGGAGATCGAGCCGCAATATCGCGGCCATATATTCCAACCTTGGGGAGGCGCAGAATTTTCGTCCTTTGCCGAAGCGAGGAGACCCGTCTGTCAATATATCGAGAAAATTGCCGAGGCTGAGCATGGTCACAATTCACGAAAGATTGAGAAACTGTTGGGCTGTTGGTTCGAAGGCGTTCGGCGATGGGACCAAGGAAAAGTTCCATTTCCCAGTTCCGTCCTGACAGCGCTCCTCTTGCTATTCAATCTCGCATTGGCTCTTCTCCCAAGCATTGATTTGTCAGGATTCAGCTATTCGGTCAATCCCAGTACCATTGACTTTGTGGTTGACAGAGCCGCCGCGCTTACGGACATCTGTCTTGAGGCCAAGCGGGGCAATAAAGATCTGAAGGACACGTTGATTATTGTGCTTGCATTCGTCGTCCGTCTCTTCCCACACCCGAAGAGCCATGGTCGGGCATCGGTGTTACTAAACCAACTCCGTGGACAAGTATGAGAAGGATGCCGGATTGAGCGGAACCTGTGCGTTTGCATGCAGGAGCCATGCAACGCGAACAACTGCGGGCAATTCGAATAGTCTAGACGACTCCGAACCGCCCAGACACATCAAAGTGCGCAGAAGCAGCATGGGCAGCGTCTTCACGGTGCAGATAGGATTTTCTTATACCGGTCCAGATGCATGATCCGGGACCTGAGAGCCACGACAGGTATTTGCAGCCGCCGAGTTAAATTCGATGACGGGGGATTGACTTTGAGTCGACCTTAGAGGTTTTTTTTGATGCGGTCAGACTGCTTGTTGCAAGTCTCGTCTTGACGTCTTGGAGGCTCATGAGCGTCAAGGCCGCCTCCGATTTTGGTAACAGTGGAACGTTGAACGCCGAAGATTGACAGGGTTGGTCGACCTCGCTGCTTCTCAGTGTCGTTGACACGAACTCATTGTTTCCTGACAAACAACTAGCTTACGAAGCGTTGATTCTCTATGGCGCTATTTTTGAACACAACTGCGTTTTGATCATGCGAAAGCCTTCGTCGCAGCCACAACAACCAGATCCCGAAGACAAATACAGTCAGAGGTATGGCAGTGGCAGGCAATACCCACCACATCTGCGACACGCTGATGCCGTTGTTGTCGAAGTTGAACACGACAGTGCTAAGTAACGACTATGCTGAGTGTCAGTCATGGGGACAAGTGTTTCAGAAACTGGATGCCCCCTGGGACTTTGGCAGCTAGCGGATATCCGATCACCTACCGACACAAAAGTTCCGGGGAGGAAGAACATGGTCACCGCGGCAATGGTGATCATGGATGCGCTGTCACACTGAGTCTGCTGCGCAATTCTTGCCGTAAGTTCCGCAATCTCCTTGTTCTGCGCCGCTATCTCTTTGTTGTCTCGACTTTCGGCCTGGTTGGCAAGGTGGAAAAGCTGTCATCCCACGTTATCAGTAAACGTCTTCTGTTACTGATACCAGATGGTCAGGGTCTTCTCACCAGGTTGATCTGCGTTGCTGTACGGTCCCTATAGTCTGCAATGAGGTATCTTAGGGACCGGCAGCTTGACGTCAGGAATGCCATTGAGTCGCTGGACCCTTCAATGGGCTGACTTGTGCTCTGTATCAGACCCTCGGCAAGGGATGCATACCTCATCTGCACATCCCGCAAGAAGTCGAGATGCGCTTCAAATTCTGAGACTTTGCGAAAAAGAATATGCCAGCTCCGCGAGAGGCGATGCAGCTCCCTGATCATCGAATCGACGGCCTCGTGAGGCTCGTTCGCTTCCTAACACCGAAGTGAGGACATCTTCGTTTTTACGTATCCATTATGGGGGAAGGGAATTCCTTACAAATCGCTTCATTCGGCCCCGGGTGGTCACCATTTCCCGCTGCCATAATTTCAGCGTCTCATCAGCGATGACAACATCCAATCTGAATGGAACCAGCAGGTCGTGCTGAGCAAGTCTCGAAACCGCTGAGGAAGGGAAGTTAAGACAGAAATATGTCGAGGAGCCAGTTTCAAGGGACGTCGAAACCAGCGTGCAGGCACTGGCGGAGGACGCGTATTCGTAAAACAGATCTATAAGAGAAGGGGGAAAAATGGTTATAACGCTTGACCTCAACCACTGTTGGTGACTCGGGAGGGGGGCCGTTTCGAACCAAAAGATTGGGCCTTGCCCTGCTTGTCCCGAACAATAAAATGGGTGTGCTTCACTGTATACCAGTGTCCCAGCCCGCAGACAGCGGTGATTAGCAGGTCTGAGAGTCCTGCTCGATCTCGAAGCAGTCTGAGGATGGCCGGATTGACCGCGGCGTCGCCGATCTCAGTGCTCGTGCGCCCCAACCCGAGGCTCTGGAGGAAGCTATGCACATCGTTAGTTATGCTCAGTGGTACGCCCTCCACCAAGCTGGGGGGGCCTCCAGGGAAGCGGTGACGGAGGGCCGAAATACAAAATACGCAGGGAGCATTTCTCCCGCGGAGCTGCTGAGTCGCCCTATATTGCTCCCAGTCAGTGATCAATCAGCCAGTCAGTCAGACTACCTCAGGTCTATTTGGCCGGTCAACACCTACAACGGGAGAACCCCCGGGGAAGGCGTGCTGGGTGATGGATCACAAACTCACCGACAGGAACTTCTCGAGGGCACGACTATCCAGATCGCGGTGCCATCCTAGCAAACTCCGCAAAAACCATGAGCATCGCGATTCTTGAAGATAACCAAAGTCGTATATGTATATAAAGAGACGACAACAATAGCACATCCCATGCATGAAGGGATTTTATTTGGTTTCCCAGCCAGTAAGCAAAAAGCCAAAACTCACGAACGATCCCAGCACGACTGTCATTGCCGTTGGTGTCGTTGTTGTTGCTGACAATGTCGAGCACGTCCACGCCTCTCCACTCAACCGTCCAAGACTCCCTGGCCGTCAAGGCCTGCTCGAGCTCCGATGCGTCCACCGTTTCGGGGCAACATGCACTTTTCGGCCTTGGTGTGGCCATGGTTGTGGTCGTGTCTATACTGCTGGTGCTACTGCGGGTGCTGCTGCGGCGGCCATGTGGAGTTTGTTGCACCTGACACGACGACGCCGACGCGGTACCGCGATGATGGTCATGGCCATCGCCGTAACCTTCCATTCGGGTTTCGTATTACTCGAAAGTACAGCGCGAGAGTATGGCCATGATATAAGGTAGGCCACGTAACGTACGGATTATTCCCTGTCCTTTTGTTTATTGGTTTTTGGCCCCCGGCGCTATCGTTGTGTTGCAACGTTAATGCTGTCATGCATGGGATGCCTTTTTTTGCCCGGCCAGGCGAGTTAATTAGTTAGTAACCTCGCCTGGCTGGCTAGCAAGAAAAGCTACCGCGGGCATTTCGAGCGGGATACTGCCGCCGGAGGGAGAGACGTGAGACGAAAACCAAGAACCTGCACGCCCCTGCGACGGCGCAGATATCTACTTGCTGTTCCTGCCGTTCGTTCAAGGATACAGGATCGCGCCGATGCGATGACCCCTGAGGTGTCAGCCTTGTCAGGCCCAGCGGGACCTGTCGATGCCGAGCGCTGTAGCGGCCCCTAGCCTGGGCGGTCCTAGATTTACATAGCTATCCCTTGAGCAGGCATCGCGATGAGCAGTGAGATATCTCACTCATAGGGTTTCTACATCGTAGTCAGCCGAGTCTGCCAGGAATGGCAAGTGTGAAGCGAAGCGGGCACGCTCGGTTCATGACCAAGGACTTACACCGTCATCCTATCGAGTGAGATTGCGAATGGTGAGTGAAAGGAAACTCGAGGGGCTTGTGTAGGGCACTCGATGTAGAGAGAATGGCATGCACAGGATGCCGTTGACATTCGCAATATTATTATGGTCAACTCCCGAGACCTTGCAACAGTTAGCCGGATTCGCAAGAGACTGCAAGAGTTCAAATGCTCCCGCCGCCGAATAAGAATAAATAATCAAGAGCAAGGCCGTTCCACCTTTAATCCCACATAGACGCAGTCTGCCATTTTGAAACATTTCAGCCTTGCAGGGCAGCCTGGTTCAGCCACTGTGCGTGCCGTTCACGCCGTTCACGTGTCCGTTCACATCATTCGGCCTCCAATACGTGTATACTTTCGCCTCCCAGTGCATCAAGGGCTCGTTTCCAACCCACTCGGCTGGCACCGCCCGGTTCTGCGTGATCTCTCTCCAGTCATTGCGATCTCGATCCGGCCAGTTTGGTACGTAGTAGCGTGGCCCCGGGGTATCGTTGTCTGTGAAGTTGGCAACGACGACCACTGGATTGGTTGTTCCTCGCACCCAGGCTATAATCTTCCCGCCGCGGCTGTTGTCAACGTGGATGAATGATGTGTCATCTACGCCAAGGGCAGGGCAATTTTTGCGGAGGGCAATGAGCGTTGCAACGTAATTGAATATACGGGTCCGCCAGTCGTCACTCTTGCGCTCATAGTTGACGGGATCGGATTGTTTCTCGGCGATGACAAGGTCCATTTGGTCACAAAATTCCTCACCAGCAAAGATCATGGGGATGCCAACTGCGGTGAGAAAGCATGCGAATGCTAGTTTAGCGCGCCGCTCGATGTCGTCGACTTTGTTATTGGACAGGAAGTTGAACAATCTTTCCTTCCGATAGCCCTCAACATCGTGCGAAGTGATGTAATTGACAGCTTGAGCTCCGTCCGAGAACCCGTCCAAGGTGCAGTTGATCATCTTTCTGACCGTCCACTCGAAGTCGTCATTGTCAGCTTCTTCGCCCAGTATTGCCGCTCGAAGGCGGCCTTGGAAGGGTTCGTTCCATAGTGCGTTCAGGGTCCCCGTGGTGAGAAGGTCTTTAGGCACGCTGAGCTCTTCCCCGATGACGATGAACTTGTCGGGGGAGCCGTTTCGGGCCTGATGCAGCTGCCACGCGTAGTCTTTGTAGTACTTGATAAAACCGTAGTTGGCGACATTGTTAATACTATCAAGCCTGAAACCAGAAACGCCGAAGTTGAGCAGCCAGTGATGGAGATGGGCCCTGTGGAAAGACCATGACGGATGCACCAAGGTTGCTTGACCTGTCTGGGGATCGTACGTCTGCGTATTGTCCTTGATATACCGCCAGAGACTCCCTCCGTACGAGTTCCTTGGTCCTTGGTTGTGGGACGTGTAGCTGTCCTGATTGTCTGGTTCCGCAAATCTCCGCAACGGGTCGCCAGCGTTAAGATCAACAAGATGGAACGGCATGAAAGCTGCATATATATAGGGGTCGTGGCCAAAAGCCATGACGGTGTCCAGAATGAGCCTTGTGTCGGGAGTGATTGTTTGAATGAGCTCAATGAGGCTGGCGGTCGAACCGAGATCAGAGTCTGGGGCGAAGTAATGAGCAGTTGAGTATCCCCATTGATCCAGATACTTTGAGTCAGCGATAGGCAGCAGTTCCAGGGCATTGATTCCAAGGTCGGCCACGATAGACTCGTTCTGAACAGCGGCGATGCTCTTGAATTTGAGACCCGGGGTTTCTTTATCGAACAAAGCCTGGACGTCAGTAAAAGTCCCTCGGTCGACTTGCAATCCGTTCGGGCCGGATTTCGCCCACGAGGGTGGCAGTTCGTAGATGACCATGTGGTTATTTGCTGGAACTTGGGGTTGAACAGGAGCAGGAATGGGCACCAACTCTGTCCCGTCGACATCGCACGGCCAAAGCTTCCCATCACGGAACTTGATGACTGCTGGTGGCTGCATATCATCTTTCCTTTCTCGGTCCCCAAATTGCCTGTAATCCACGGTGTAGGCCAGAGGGTCGGTCACAGCCATTTTGCCCGAGTCCAGAGGGAAGGTGTTGTCCACTTCGAACCAGTAATGGTAGACCTTTCCATTCTCCAGCGGTGGATCTATAGCGTCCAGAGAGAGCTCCCAGAGATCTTTCTGCGTCTGTGATAGGTCTCCCCTGAACAAAGTCGTCACGGCGCCAGGGCCTGGTGTGTCTTTGAAAGTCCCGAGAATCAATCGCGGCGCAGACTGGCCAGCTGGATTCCAGAGAACGAATCGTTTCTTACGACGTTCAAGCAGGTCAAAGGTCGTCGCCATGACGTGAAATTGGTAGACAGAGGATGGAGGTGAGCCCTCTGAGGCACTGATGCTTCGTTGTCGTACTATTTAAGGACTCGTGAGGCGTAGGCTAGAGTGGTCTGCTCTTTCAGCTGGGTCTGGCTGGCTGAGCTCTGGTTGGACTTTTTGAGCTCTGGAGCTCTAGGACCATGCAGGGTGTAGCAGGGTGTAGCAGGGCAAGCTTTGAACCGTGGCACTAGCATGGATGAGAGGTCGAAAACGGGTCAAGTGCGACGTTCAGAGGCCCATGAATTTGCAGTCTGGGCTTCACGTGCGGCAGCCAATGCAGCCGAAGCGAGGCAACTTGTCTCCCAATTCGGTGGGAACATTCCGCAGCTGAGCAGTTCTCCTCTTGGTACTATCTTCTACAAGACTTGGTCAGACCGTGCATCCACGAACAGAGAGTGGTCAGCCAGCCATGGATTCGTATCTATTACCCTCAAGTTGCTCATCGACAGATTAGGATGTGGCCGGGCTCGTACTGCGCCTTGACTTTTCATCGCGGGCACTCTTACGTCTTGAAAACACACTCCTCTCCCACCCATCCAACGGACTGATCTCGACTTCTCTCACGAGCTCATAGTTCCCAAGTCGCGGCAACAGGATAGCCCAGATAAGCCAATAGACTCCTCCAGCAGCAATGATTCCCATGCCCACCACACAGTGCAGGTAGTATGGGAGATCTTTGTACACGTTTTGCCCTTTGCTGGGAGGCACAAACGGAGCTGCAATGAGGTACAAGTTGCTTAGGAGGAAAAGGAGAGTCACCGGCCACGTTGCGTGGATGGGTGGCGACCATTCCCAACGGTGTGGGTTGACATAGAGATATAAAAGTCCAGCCGCCACAAAAGCATTGACGATGGACAGGGGATATGAAATGACGCTAGATGCGTCGATCAGCTTCTGTGTCGATGGTTGAGTCAGGGGACCTACTTCAGGATGAAATTGTACGCATCGCCTGGAGGCGGCGCAAGCATGATTATCACCGAAACACACCAGTGCTCGAATAGACCCGCGAGGGGCGCATTAAACGGTTTGTTGCTTGCCCACACGCGAGAAAAGGGAAGAATTCCCTCTCGCCCGAGTTCTTGGACCACTAGTTACCATACTATTAGTATTTGCTTTGCAACATCACCCAGGTAGCCAACCTAGAAGGGGGGAGGTCCACTTACAACGACCTTGAGAAAAGATCACACTCAGGACATTCCCGAAGGCGGATAGTGCGACAAAGACGGAAAGTGCCCGCTCAGCGCTTTTTCCAAAGACATTGCGAAAGAAGGATGCCGCAAGAATACGGCCAGAAGATACGATCTCTTCTTTAGGAACGGCGGCAAAGTAAGCAATCTGTACGAATTCCACCATGAGCGAGGCACCCACTAGGGCCAAGGAACAAAGGGAGCCATCTTACGTTGACCAGCATGTAAACGATGGACACAAATATAATGGCAGCTGGTGCCGCAATCTTGAGGGTGCGGACTGGATTCTTCGTTTCACTCAGAGCGTAGTTGGCATTGCTGTAGCCGATATAGCTCCAAATCACATTGTACAAGGCTGTGACAACGCCGTATCTGGAATAAGTCAGCCACGTATATCCCATTGATGGCGAGTGTAGCACTGACGCGCTGCCAGTCGTTCCTTCAAATGCATTCTCAAAGTTATGGGGCTCCGGCACCTTAAGGGCACCACCAAGCGCGGCCTGGAAGACACGTCAACTTCGATAGGCGAGGAGCCGATCAAGGACTCGACTTACCCAGCCGGAGACCACAATGAGTAGCACAATGATCAGCTTGATAATGCCGAGGAGATTTTGCAATCTCAACCCCCATTTCAGAGCACATCCATGAATGAGAAATGCGGTAGTGATGCAGGCCAGCCCAACTCCTCGCTGATTCCACCTGTTGACTTCGACTTCAGCAGCGTGAAGAATGTACTCTCCGAAAATGACCGAGTTAGACCCGGCCCAACCAAGGAGGATAACATATCCCGTGTAAAATCCAGTGGCGAGGTATTTGGGATGTCGGTAGACAAACTCCAAGTAGTTCTTCTCGCCTCCGTTCTTTGGGATGGCCGTACCAAATTCCAGATATACAGCCATACCACACATGGCGATTATCATGCCGGCGACCCAGATGAATAGGCTAAGACCGACGCTGCCGGAAAGGGAGAATATCGTACTTGGGGTTGCAAAAATACCGGTTCCAACCATGCGGTTAAAGATGAGGAAAAAAGCGCTGATCACACCAATCTGGCGTTTCGTCTCGGTTAGAGTATGTACAAGGGCCGAGGAACCTGGAAGTCTGTCAGAATAAGGTGGTACGTTCAGAGCATTCAGGCGTTGCTTCGGACCATCTCTTGCGTCTGATTCGACATCTATCGAGGTCTCTTTTTTTGTGCTTTGAGAATTGGGAGCCGCAGGTGTGCGTTTGGAGAAGTAAGTATAACATCTGCTCGACATGGCTGTGATCTAAACTTCTGATGTTCTTAGCAATCGAGACTGTGCAACGGTGAAACAACCATTCTCTCCAACCTCAGTCGGTTATCTTGTGATATTTATGACGGGCTCTGTCGGAGGTCGCCTGCAAGTTGAGGCGCTGCAAGACCTCTGACCAGATCGTTCAAGTCCCATGTAACTCCCATCTTCGACGTCGTATTGGAAAGAAATTTTTATGCTAGCCTCAACGGCGAGGGAGATGCGGTGGTCTCCTTTAGGCTTCCATGTTGTGCTCTCGGCAAGCCAATGACAGCCCCTAGCGGTCCGCTATCAGCTTTATGGCGTTTGCAAAAGCTAGGCTGGGTGGGCAAGAATTGGGATCGCGCCATCCTTGGTAGAAATTCGTCTCGCGTCGAGGTGAGGAAATACCATCCATGGTTGCGTTTATTGAGTAAGAAAAACATCCTCCCTCAAGGCTGAGAAGTTTCGGGGCGGGTAGGATCGGTTCTTTCCCAGGGCGCCGACCCACCGTTAGTGTCGTGAGCCATCATCCGAGGAACATCTGTGTGAGAAGAGCGCGATGGGATTTAGAGAGCGATTGCGTGATTAGGAGGGAAAATGATGGATCCAGGGAATGGCAAAGTTCCCAGAGTCCCACCAAACTCCCGTTGGTCTCTACTTACCTTTGAATCAGGACTGGGGCAGAGTCACCTTCGTCTACGCATGGTCTTTCCTTCAGGGGGAGAAAGCGATGGTGCATACATTGCATGTCAAGACTTGCAACTTCTGATGAAAACACAGTTGAGTGGTGTGAACCCCAGTCTTGGGACTGAGAACCAGTTGCAACTGCCAAGCTTTTGAAATGACATCCAGCCTCCTTGACGCGCTAGGACAGGAGTGCGGTCCTCAGCCTCGCCACTTGCGGTACCAGGTAGTTGGCAACTTCAACGTGAGGTTGTTTTTCTTCCGATGCCAACCTTCAATATGACCGCGTTGCCGCCGCCCATTTCGCCACTATCGGTGGAGTCGAGAAATTGATGCTCACCTGAGTATATCAAAAAAAGGAACGGCTTTCGCTCTCTGCCGGTCGACATGGGAAGAATCAGCCTTGCGGACATGACAAGTTGATTCTGCTGCATCCAATTGTTTGTAGACATTCGCATTGACGCACTCGAGCCTCCGCTCCCGTGGCTTCACATCGATGATACCTTCTTAGCACTCAAATGGCCAACGATGTTTCAAAACGTAGTCTGTCCGCTGCCAAAGAGGTTTTTCTGTGTGACAGGAATGTATCTGCCGATCAACGCCCCGCTTCGCGAAATCAGCCCTGCAGACATAACTAATCGAACCAACGGCACGAATCCACGTTGATATCGAATTGCGTGGTGAATGTTTAGCTAACTGGCCATTCAGAAGTGCGCGGCTGCCAGAGGAAAGAGTCTTGCATATTCACTGGTTGAATAACATGCCAGTGATGGTTCGCCGAACAGATCACAACAACTCCTAACAAAGCCTACGATGATAAACTGCGGTCCCCCGTCCTTGTCACCAATACGAGTTATTTGTTCCACTGCGAGTTTCGCTTGGTGACCGTCGGGTTGGAATGGAATCATCTTCCTGTCCTTGCTCCCGGCCGCGTCAAATACCTGCGATGGCATTCACAGACCACAGGGATGACCTCTCTGCTTTCATGATATCCAGTCTCTCACGTCCCTCCCTCCCACATTGAGGCCTTCGAATGTCTCTTTTTGCGTGGTCGCGCCTTGCCTTCGAATCCTACAAGAGAATCCAGTTCGGGCACCGTTACCTCTTCACCGGCAGGTGACATGGTAATGTCGTCGTTTAAGGAAACAGGTGACCGAGCCAGGCTGGCAGAGCTCCTTGAGTCTTTCCTTCCGTCATCCTCGATGAGATCGTTGCCATTGATTTCGCTAGCCGGCTCGTCATTCGCGAACGCCTCCAGCACGCTCTCGCTATCCCGACGACTTTCCTCATCCGACGACCTTTGCACTATGGTACTCAGCATTCCGAGCGGTATCTTGTTCACGCAGGCTTACCTGACAGGTTGTGTCGATCAAAGCGGTGAAGTCGACGTAGACCGCTGTTGAGCGTCTTCACCCTCTGTTCCAATCGCTTGCGCTCAATCCTAGATCCCTCATCTTCCTCGGCAATTGCCTTGATGGTCTCATCGGATAGCAGTGCGACACTCCCCGGGCAGAAAATGACAGCCAAGCTATCCAGGAGGCAATTTTCGACAGCAAGGATGCTGAAATCATCCACGAATTTCTTTCTCGCAACCTTTTGGTCATCAGCCTGTCAGCAAGTGCATTGAAGACAGAGAAAGAAAGAGAGGTCAGTGAACGAGAGGACTCGCCTTGTAGTAAGCTAGCATGCAATCGATCGCTTCAGAAGCTGCAAAACGTTCCATATTGGCTTCTGTTTGGGTCCCGAGTGCAGCAATCAACTCATCCATTCTGAACGTTTGTTTCTGCTTCACGGATTCGCACAGTGGATATTCTGATCCAAAAAATTCCTTGAGATTTGCCCGCAAATATTTGCAGAGCCGCTCTTCACGCGCCTTTTGGACGCTTTCTGTGAAATAGTGATTGTAGGTTATTGCGTGCCTCGATTGCTGAGGCTTCAGGAGCTCGGTTGTCTTGACGCGCAATGTTTCTTCGATCTTTTCGATACCGGAATTAATCACATGTTCCAGAAGTCCTCTGAAGCTCTTTTCGTCCAAAATGTCCTGTAACATGGGGATTATGGCCTTCCGGACGTCCCCAAGGAGGTTGTCGATGCAGTCGGCCACAATCGATTCCCATGGCCTACTCTGCAGATAAAACAGATCACCTATGATAAGAGGGTTGAATGTCCCTGGCAACTCTCGTCCTCGACTTCGACGCATTCGTTGTTTAACTTCGTCGACAAAGTCAGAACGGAGAATTTGGTTCTCCTCAGGGTCCATCTCGTCGTCGTCGTCGATAATCACTCTTTGCATCCCCCGTTCTTCCATTGTCTGGGCTAAATCAGTGAGCCGATTCTGAACCACGGCACGCAATCTCCTCTCATAACCTTCGTCCTCCATAGCATCTCCAAAGAAGGGGCTGGTGTAGATTCCATTTATGGCATGGCCTACGAGAGTCGTGAAACAGTCGCTTGCGTCTAGGAGGTATCGGCGCTGATCCGCCAATGTTTGTCGTGCTTTCCCCAATTTTTGTAGGGCAGATTCTGCGACTTTGCATGACCGTTGAGCTTCAGCAATGAGACCTGGTAGCTGCGATATGATATGATCCTTGAGCACGGTACTCAACCTAGGTCTCAAGGAATCGATACCAACCAGAGCCCGTGGCATTGCGGCCCATATCCCCTGCGCTAGGAAGTTTGCTTCGGATTCATGACGCTGTTGGAGAGAATAGTGCTGCTCTTTATGCTCTCGATTCTTAAGGACGTGCCATCCCAGCCGGAATGTGAGCCGAGTGTTCATGGCTAGGTCATAAAAAGATCGCTCCATTTCAGAATTCTCGGGCAGAGTGTCTGGTTTCGTTATTATGCCCATCGTTCGATTTCCCACTCGGTCGACTTTGCGTGTGAAAGCGGTGACTTTTTGTAGCGCAATGTCGCTTTTGGCGGAGATAACTGCCAGAATGACACTGCGCTTATTTCGAATATAGGACAAGACCAATGACTCCACGAAGTCAACCCCCTCTGCACTCTGGAACTCGTCAGGCGCATGGTAAAGCCCGGGAAGATCGACAAGGGTCAAATGAGGTTGTGTGGGTCCTGATACTTCTACGCGGAGGACGTCCTTCGAAAAGAGATGGCCCTCTTGGCCGACGCCAATGTATCGTTCTGCTTCTCTGACAATGCTTGCAAAATCATTAAGCTCGATTGTTGACGACCTGAACCCTCGGATGCGGTCTTGCTCGGCTGATGGTCGTGCCTCGTCAGCATGAATAGAGGCTTTGATACCCACCTTCGGCGAGCGTCTTAAAATGAGCTCAGTAGCGAAACGGGTGCAAACATTGTCCTTGACTGGGAATGATAAGCCTGAGATCGCCTCCAAAACAGAGCTTTTGCCCGATGACTGGTCACCACACACGATCAGTTGTGGAAGGTTGACGTATTTGCTGATGCCTTCCGACCTAAATTGGTCAATGACGTTGAGGATCTCTTCATGATCTTTCGACTGAAGTTGTATCAAAGGCGCCAGGGGTTTGCCAGGGTTTTGGAAAGGGTCATCGCCCATGCTTGCCATGTCAAGTCAGCCCGCCTTGTTAGCTCCTGGGATCAAGGTCGAATGTTGTGATAAATATAGGCCGCTACGTTTCTGGCAGGGTGGCGGGTGTTTTGGAGGTCTCGGACACAAGGTGTTGATGCTCTCGGGGCACTCTTCTCTATAAATGACGAGCACTGGGGGTTTGCACAAGACAGATTCTCCCGCCTACGATTGCACCCACTGTGCATGAGCCCCGGGAAGGAGTTCGCGAACTGAGGAGCGACACGTCGACTCCTTGCCCGGGGTGCTGTTCCAGCAAATTCGGGAGCGCACATGCAAGGCGCCCAAGATATAACAAGAGAGGCACGACATCAAAACGAACTTGTTCGAGGTGTGTCATGATCAACTACCCACTTAATGCCTGCTGAGGGAACCCCATGGGGGGATGCGCTGTCAACGATATGCGTGTGGTCCGTAGGCTCCGATAGGAAATTGCCTATGAGGACTCCAAGTGACTGTCCATTGTTCTCGCTACGACAACTTGGCTGCGCAGAGACTAGATGCGTTCAGAAAACCCCGGCACTAGTTGTCACATAAGTTAGACGACAGGAGGTCGCGGCCACTTTCTCCGTTGGCGTGGCGTCCTTATCCAGACTCGTCTATGACCATACTACTCTCATCCACCCGGCGCTAGCACAATCGTCCTGGGATACAGGTCCTTCCGTTGTGGTTGTAGTATCCTCAGGTGGGATTGGTGCTTCGTATCTTAGTGTACCTTTATATAACTAGAGTTCCTAAGAGACAGGTGGCCATGCGTGTTGCGGACTGCCATCTTTTGAGCTCATCATTCTCCCAGTAAATTCGATATAAAGATATATATACTACAAATATCCTTCATCAACTATGCCGTCGTTATGCATTGGCGCCTGATTTCACCGGATGTAGAGCCAAGATAGGTGCCCAGATCTTGCCTCCATCTTCGCGTAGCATCGAAGGCATATCAGTCGGATCATGATTCATCCATTGCTTGAATGTTCTTCCCGGATAGCCAGGTACCCACCACCACGTCCCTCCGTTAAAGAGCTCGTAGACACCGTTGGGATCGTACATAGCCTTTCCAAATGACAGGCCGTTGTTATCCCGAACGTTTTCGGCAGGCGTACCACCGTTGAACAGCTGTCCCAGTTCCTGGACACTCACTTCCCGACGTGCCTGAGGATGGTGGAACCAGGGATGAGGCGGGAAAACAACTTTCAAGCCATGGTACAGTGCAAATGACACGGCGGTCGCTTCTGACGGCAAAGACAAACCTTGATGAACTTGGGCGTGATGCATTGCATTGAGCAGGTTCCATGAATACCTCCCCATGGCCACCGGACTGTAGAATCGTGGTGTATCTTCCCCGTCCTGAAATCCATGGATCCAACCCTTGAACGGCCAGTACTTCGTGGTTCTCACATCCGCCAAGGCGTTCGTGAGAATTAGGTCGGCGTCCTCCCCAACGCCCCAGTCGAAATTATCCTCACGGGGGTTGGCGACAGGTGGCTGAGGACCGATGGGATGTCGGATGTCAGGAATCCGGACTGGTCCCCAGATGCCACCACCACCCAAGCTTTTGTCGATGGCTGCCCTGAACTCTTCATAAGGTCCGTGGATCTGTGGCATGTAATAATACGAAGAACGTTCGACTGATTGTTTCCGTGGTTCCTTCCGTGCAAACCTGGCCATGGCGTCCAACCACTGCCCAGAATTTCCCGTGAACTTCATGTCCATCTCAAGCTGCCAATAGTGGTCGAAGTCAGGGAAGAGTTGTGCAAACAGTTGAAGGGGCTGGTAGACTTGAAAGAAAGCTGAATGTTCGGGAACTCGAGGATACCATGACTCGAGCAAGTCGCGGTTGAAGAGGACGGCGATGTCTCGAAACTCAGCAGGCACCAAATCTTGTAAGGCCTTCTCGTAGCTCTGCGAATCATGGAATATCCGCCTTGTCCCATTTTTGTCCTTCATGTCCACCAGCAGAAAGACAGCATTGTCCGCATTGGAATCCAATCCAGCCTCGACGATCAATGACCGCAGATGATACAGGTCCAGTGAGGTGTAATTGTAACCTTCCCAGCTGCGAAGCACAATCGCCGTCCTGCCTGTAGAGGATGTCCTTGTCTTCAATTCTTCATAGCGAGTTTTTGCAGGCAACCCAAACCTCCTTGCCGTGGAGATGTTTTCCGATCTGTGAAAGCGGCCCTGGTTCGCAGCGAGACAGTCATTTTGCAAATCTGCCCAGTTCACCAAGCTCCACTGCACGTGAACCCGATGGTGCTTCTCCGACTCTTCACCATATCCATAGGGACCATATCTCGACTCAGGGGTGTTGAAGGTAAGTGGCAGATCCAAGGCTGCATACGAGCCTCCTACAGGTTCAGGGAAAGCTGGCACTGTCAGCACGCGCACCGAAGGAAGGCGACTGAATCTGGAACATACCCAAGTCTAGCGAACTCGCCCATATTCTGTCATCGAGATTCTCCTGCACGGGCCTGCCTCTGGGTCCGATGCAGGGTTGTCGTACAGTGTTTGGCGGTGGCTGTGGTGGCTGCAGTGGGGAGGGAGTGGACACAGGCGCATCCAGGGGTCCAGGGAAGAGGTCGCGCGAGATGCCAGCGGTCCGAGTAAAATCACGATACAGGAAGACAAGGAAGCAGCTCAGTCCAACGACAGCCAAGAGATGGAGCCCAAACCGTCGGAAGATGGCATATTGTGTCACCAGTGTGGCCATTGCACGGCCACCCGCAGCGCAGCACAGCAGATGCGTACGCAATCACGCCAGGATTAAGGATTAGTGGTGATGCCTGACACCACAAGGCATCTCTTTTGAGCTCCACTGTGACGCCGCCTTGTGGATGCTCAGCCTGGCCATCACCCAAGCCATCACTCACCAGCTGTGAGGCTCGCACTAGAGCCCCGGCTAGGTAATCAGCATCCAGACAACTATCATGGCCAAAGTGCCTGCCGAGCACCGAGTACCACAGCCAACACTGTTCTGGAACACAGGAACGAGCTCGCGAGGTACGAGGTACGCTGGTGGTCGATGGCGATGCGGCTTCATGCCGCTTTGCCGGAGCTGGAGCTACTATCCGTAACCGGTTAGGTCAGCACGACGATGACGAGGCTGGCGTAAGCTTGGCCTAGGATTGCGCAATGAGTTTCGTTCCACCGAGAAAGCTTGAATTTCACCCTTTAAAACAGAGGATGGAGGGACATTTCCTTTGAAATTTGGAGGCCGGTGCCGCCGTCTTGGGAGGAGCTGTCTATATGTGCAGTTGACCATCGGGCTGGTCGGTCTGGGGGCTCAGCTTCGCTGCCTGCATGCGAAAGCCAAGGTTGCGTACAAGAAGCTGTGAGATTCCATAAAAGCGTCTTGCCCTCCCATTAACGGTTGAGCTTAGTTTACACCTGTACCAGGACTTCTAGAAGGCACCGCAGAGATTGTGCCGATTAAGATAAGGGTCGCAACCAAAGAGGCGTCGCATCCTAGGCCTCACGAAGCACGTAGCATTTTCAACTCTACACAAGACCTGGGACAAGTCGCCGAACTTGACCTGCTGCAGTCATGATCCAGCTGCTACATAGATTGCAGAAACTGGTTGCTCGAAGAGTCCCATGATGACAGTGAAGTACAAAATTATGCCATCTTGTGACACACATGGGACTAAGACAACCCACAAGAGGTGATATACCGAGACTTTAAGAGGCGAGAAATCAAGAGACCACGCCGCAGCAAACTAGACTGGAAGAAGGTCGAGGAGGCTTGCGCAACCGCTCTCAGGCTTGGGGTCAAACAGACTGGATCGACAGCTGTTGCACTGACAAAGCGACTTCCCAGAGCTTGTGGAAGCGATCAACTCTATGTACCAGTGGTATGAGCCGTCAAAGTCGGCATTGTGTACTTGGGCGATCTAGAAAAATTTGGACCCTACTGATGGTTCCACAGAGGGTGGACTTTGAAAGAGCTGATGGCACCGTCAAGAGCCTTACTCTACGGCAATTCCCTGTAGGAAGGAAGCTATATGACCCCCACTGGAAGTCCTGTGGCAGCAGGAATGGGTATAATATCAAAGATCAGTACAACGCATCTGAGGATCTGAGCACACAAATCGCTGAGATCACACACCGATCCAGCACTTCCTCGGCAACACGTGCTTGTTGAATTCAAACGCCACTTGCACCGTATTCCAGCATGCCAGAAATGTCCTGGGCCTCAAATAGGAAAACTCCCAAGGTCGAAGATATGGCATACTGTTTGATCGGCATATTTGACATCCGTATATCCTTGAAGATTGGAGAAGGGCCACGGGCATTCACCCGACTTTAAGAAGAGATCGTTGAACAAGAGAGCGATCTAACGCTTTTCGCCTTGGTAGCCACGGACCATGATAAGTGCAACTCCGAGAATTTGCTATCTTCCGACATCTTTGATCACAACAACAAATGTTTCGAGGAGGTTGGCATTCAATTGAGACGGATCGGGGCCAATATCTACGACAAGACGAATTACCAGTTCACGAATTCGGTCAATTCACAACAGGAAGTCCTTCCAAGCCGGGATGACATCTTGGTTACTCACAGAATCCATCATCTTCAAGATCGCATTCAAGACCTCTATGGAAAGGTTATAGAGCCCTATCGAAATGCCATATTCATCCTCTCGTGGATTGGCGAACATCTGGAGCGAACAACCCTTCTCCAGGTCATCAGTGGTGTACAGATAAGCAGGTCATGATAACTGCTAGGACCTACTTTTTTGCCGGCCTAGCGCCTTACAAGGTGGGTGGAGATGGAGATGGTACAGTCTATCTCCTTTTCGGACTTGACTACCAACGAAGGACTTGGTTCGGTCTGCTCGGACGTAGTTCGCCACTGGCACCTAGAGGCCAAGAGACGAGACGGGCATATATCTCGACAGGGAGCGCGCAAGGCAGGCTTGAAAACCCCAAGCTTGAACATGACAACCCTAGATCAGTCCTCATCGTTTGAAGTAACGCGAACTTGTTAAGTCTATGTGAAGGGTCAAATCAAGGTCGAGAGTAACAGGGACACTTTTTAGCTTGAATTCATCCTTGATCCTCCAGTGCCCATGTCTTAGACACTAGTCGGCCTGGGACAAATCCAACACCATCCACTTGGGGCTCCTCTACGCAGCGGATCACCTCACCCAAAATGATACTGACGAACATGTCTTTAAGCCCAACCACAGGGAGTATCCCTGTGGTTGGGTTGACACTGACGACTTCCATTCCACCAGATAGGTCTACAGCTCCGGCCTTTATAGAGAGCACCAGTTTATGCAGAACGATACAGCCGACTAATATTCGGCCAAATGGGTCTACAGCTCCAGCCTTTATAGGGAGTACCACTGTTATTGGTCTGACAACAAGCACCGTCCTTTGGGGCACTACAGAGCAGAGGAACTCACCAGTGAGGTGTGTGGGTGTCACCTCAATACCACCTAGAATGCGGTGAATCTTAAAATCGGTCTCGCTTCGATCGCCGCGACACGCACACTTTCGGAACAATTGCCATTGAAAACCGCGAGCTTGGTCGAAAGTGGCGTCGCCGGGTCGACTCTTTCGGCCGGCGAGGTGTAATTCTCTTTCTTGAGAGGGAAGAACCCAGCTCATATTATATTTACTGGGAGGAATGCCACCTGTTTTCACAGTCTCTATCGGCCCTTTCTCCCACGTCCCTCCTACAACTAATGCCCAAATCTCGTTGGCAAGTCCACGAACGCAGGACTGGGCTATGACATGTCCAATGGGCACACTTTGATGAATATTCATCGTATTCGGAGCTTCGCACAAGTCCGTTGATCAGATCAAACGCCATCCTACTGCCGCCTTTAGCTTTTGGCGCCGCTTTGTGGTCAGCTCACGCCATGAACGATTCGACTACATCCAGTTCTAGGACCGTGACCCATCTCATCCCTCTGCAGATACTTTTCGAGAACTCCGTGGCGTCTGGCCATGTTTGCAACACGCAGAAATCCCGAGGCGAGAAGCGTGATCTCACCCGACTAGCGATGTCTCATCGATTCAAGGCCAAGTCTACCGACCGCAGCCTCGCCTAGGTTGCGTAACCTCTTCCTTCAACATTGCAGCGAGCTTTCTCCCTAGATTCGAGTAAGCTGACTAAATGGCCCCTATGGTATTCTCTTTCCCCAATGATGCTGTAATCTTTGCTGCTCATCCAGCCCGGTAGTAACTAATCAATGCGGCATTCCCGGCAGAAGGTCCTATGATCCCGCCGTTCAAAACCTGAATGAAATCAGATCAAGTCTCGTCTTCTGTCGATTCTCCCTGACTGACTCGGTGCACTCTACCTTGGGGGCAGTCAAGGTAACCTTTTTCTGCCTTTGGAGGAAGCTAGATTCCCCAGCAGTCAGCTCGATCGTCCATGCAGTTGCATGCCAAATTCCCGTCGGTTCGGGAGACCGTCGCAAGTTCGGATTCACATCCTGCAATATTCAAAGTGGTCACTATATCGGACGTAGCTAACGGTGTAAGTAAAGGGCAGAGCACGTCTATTTCCGAAGGTAAATGCAATGCTCAATACCGCCGAAAGCCACCTCCGTTCTAACAGCGAAGGACTTGCGACGTGCCACTTATTTTTCAACCCGGTTTGGTGCCTCTTATTCGAATTTTAGCAAAGAAATGACGTCCTTGATTGACTGCTTGACTACAGTGGTCCAACCCCTTGAGAGTCCAACTTCCAGACGCGGCCGCGGAGAATTGGGAGGAATTGTTCAGCCATTCAGCGGGCCGCGGCAAGGGTATTTGTCATGGAAATTTGGCCGCAGATTCGACAGCTGTATATTGCAATACATTTTATTGGACGCAACCTGACTTGTTCCTGACTAGAGGGTGAGCTGACCAGCGATCCAGAAATCGAAGCAAATAGGGGCCAACATCGACGAGTCGAGACCGACTGTCTTCCCCGCAAGGATGCGTCATGTCAGCCGCGGCAGATCGAGCATACGGGCATTGGAACTAGATTACCTCCTGGCGATATGAAACTCGGGAATCTATTGCAGAATGTCGATCGACGACATCCGAGGAGAAGTACAGAGTATCAGTAGAGCACGGACACTACAAAATGGGCAGTGTCGATCCTGGGATCTCAGTCTCGCCAATTAATATTATAAAGGCAGCTCTTCGCCTCGCCCTAAGAACTGGTTTCCATTGATTTAACCAAGCATGGCTAACTACATCCATTGGGACGCTCCTGGCGTGGAGGTTGAACAGCCTGGCGAACAGGAAAGGTTCAAGCAAGTGGCGGAGCAGTTCTGCAGATTCCAGATGATGAATTTCGACGAACATCATCACGCTCTACGAGGCACTCACCTCAAGACTCAGGGGGTGAGTTGGTCACACCTGACTCTCCCGATCCTGCTGACGAACATTTACAGTGTGTTGCTGGTAAATTCGTCGTGCACGACAACCTTCCTCCACATCTCGCTCAAGGCATGTTTGCAAAGCCTGGTACATACGACGTCATCATGCGGTATTCTTCTCTCACGCCCAAACTTGTCCCTGACAATGTCCCTGCGCCACGTGGCATTGGAATGAAGATTTTTGGCATCGAGGGCGAGAAGATCTGGGGAGAAGACAAGAAAACCCAGGACTGGACGTTCAACAATTATCCCATCCTCGAACTTCGAGATGCTCAAACCACGCATGAAATTGCAGACTCGATTGAAAGGAACTGGGACAATATGCCGGGATTTGAGAATGAACTTAAGAAGCGTCTGGACGCCGATGTCGCATGTCGACCAACCAAAATCCCCCCGCAACACAGTAAGATACGTGATTTGGGCAAGTTCGTGAGACTGATGGCGGTTTACAGTGGTGGCAATGCCAGAGTACTCACAGTCGGCATATCGCTTCGGTGACTACGTGGCCAAGTTCGGTGTATTCCCACTGGGCGAAGAGCAAAAGAAGCTCGAGGACACCTATATCAAGGGCACCGACCCAAAGAATGTCATCTCCCAGGAGCTTCGCAAGTTTCACGTGAACAACAAGGTCACGTACTCGTTCTGCGCGCAGCTTCTTCAAAATCTGGATGAGCAGCCGGTCGAGGATATTGGCATAGAGTGGAACGAGAAGAAGTATCCTTTCGAGGAGATTGCGACCATCGAGTTCGAACCACAGGATAGTTGGCTGCCGGAGTTCCGAGTTTGGTGGGGTGACAGGATCACCGTTAACAGCTGGCATGGCCTCAAGGTCCATCAACCCCTGGGCAGCACCAACCGTGCGAGAAGAGTCGTGTATGCTGAGTCTCGGAAGTTGCGGTTGAAGGTGAATGGTCATAAGGACTATATTGAGCCTGCAAGCTTGGAAGAAGTGCCATGCCAGGTGGCTGCGCAGGCATAGGGGAAGGTTTGCGACTCGTCGCAATCATGTAGGCCGGATATATTACTAGATGATAGTTGAAAATGGATTTCAGACACTGATTGGGTGGAGTTTAACTAATAGGCCAGTATACGTTGTCAAAAGATGTAATCAGCGAAGGAGCATACGTGACTAGTTCGTACAATGATCTACTGGTGACTTTCCAAACTGCCAAGTCTGGAATGATGTTTCACTCATCTGATATCATGCACTCCTTACTCTCCACAGTCCAGTCCGATCAGCTCAGGTGCTTGTACATAGAAGAGCTTAACGCTGGAATGATTTCAGCAACATGGTGTCAAACTGAGAAGGCATTCCCTATGCGAACCAGTGTCCGCGCCACGACTAGCACGACCAAGTTAACCTGATACCAAGGGCTGTGGAAGCTGCGCAGACAACGTCCACACACAGAAGACCCCTGAGCTAGGGGTCCAGAAATCGACAAACTTGGCATATGCTCAGGCAGACTCGTGCAAGCAGAGCAGAGAACAGCAATTGCGTGCCAGGGAACCAAATAAGCGGGGTATGGTCAAGCTGGGGGACTGATTCGGTATTGACAGGAAGAAGTCGGTGGAAGGACTCTCGGGTCGGCCCCCAGAGAGAACGTGATTGAAGACGACAAGTAGAGTATCAGGAATCTGTCAGTGAATCAGGTATGTGGTCTTCTCGATTCTTCTCAACGGTGCTTTGTGCTCTACACGTGGACTTCCTGTACTCTGCTGCTAGCACCTACATATATGGGGGGGATTTCAATTTCGGTTTCATGTCGAACGCCAACCCAAGCACCATGACGATCTTACCGGGAGTTGCTCGTACCTGGACTGGCGTGTTTGCCGTTGTCTAGCTTGACGTCTTCTACCTCCGCCCCCCGGACTCCGGGACAGACCTAGAAGAACGACTTAAAGGTGTTAATGGGGCGTACCAAGCCGATCTCCGACATTTGGCTTCGGACGTCCAACGGGTCTACGACGCATACAAGACATGGAACTGAGTTCTATCCCGACGTCTGTCAAGGAAACTACAACCCTGTGGTACGTCTCACCAAATCACTACTCCAACCCACGGCCCGAAAACTCAATATTGTCTTCTCCCCGTGCAGTCACCTGGCTGGGAGGTTCATAAGCAGGACGGCGCGGAAGATAGAAAGAGGCACTGGGTGTCGTCTGACGAATTTTTCGACGCGGAATATGGCAATGCGTTGTTCGTCGGCGCCAGCAGTCGAGAACAGCTCGAACAGACTCTGGGGCAACATGAAATACACGAATTGAGCGACAGGGCCTACGGGGGATCCATAAAACAAGGAAGGAGATAAAGCATGAAGCACAACTGAATACAT